GGCTCGGCGGGGGCGGCCGGCGGCGACTTGCGCGAGCGGCGGAAAGTTGCGGCGCATCGCGGGGCCCGGCGCGATGGGCAACGACCGCTGGAAAACCATGGGCGGAGCGGCGCAACTCGAGGACGGGCAGCAGGAGAAGGCGCAGGTAGGACCGGCCCGGGGGGGGACACGGAGAGCCCCCCGCCGCCGCAGCCCCCAGACCCCAAGTAACTTCCCTGCAGCGCCGGAGCCCGAGTCCCCCCTGCCCAGGCGCGAAGCCACCCCCAGGACCCCCCGAGCAGCGCCCGCTTTCCTCCCCTCCCCGCGTTATTTAGTTTATTTATTTACAGCGGGTGTCACATCCTCCTGTGGCTGAGTGGCTGCGTGTCAGACAGGCAGCGGAGAAGACGCCACCGCTGTCGCACGCGTCTCTGATTAACTGCTGCACGTTTGGACGGCTTAAGGAACCTCTGAGAGGGGATTTTGTGTCTTGATTCTGCACTGCAGATCGAGCCGACCCTCCTCATTGATGAGCCCTCTCTGTCCCCTATAGCCGGTAGCTCGCCCTGTTCGGGGGGACAGCGTGGGTTTGCGGCGAGCTTGCCGAGGGTGTTTTGTGGTGCACGAGGGTGTTTTGTGGTGCACAGGGGTTTGGGCACGTGCTGGAGCCGCTTGCACAAGCGAGCGCACGTGTGACAGCCCCTTGGGCTGAGTGTGCAGGTACCGCTGAGGACCCACTCGTGGCGCGTGAGGGGCTGTGTGATCCGTGCAAGCCTGCATGGTCTGTGCAAGCCGGCATGGTCTGTCTTGCACGGTCCATGCAATGCTGTGCAGTCGTGCAAGGCTGTGCAGTCAGTGCAAGGCTGTGGGGTCTGTCTTGCATGGTTCCTGCAAGGCTGCACGGTCCGTGTGAGGCTGTGTGATCCGTGCAAGGCTGCACGGTCCGTGTGAGGCTGTGTGATCCGTGCAAGGCTGTGCGGTCCGTGTGAGGCTGCTCCAGGCACAGGCAGGGCTGTGTGTGCATGAATGAGCACTCCCAGTACCTTCCTGGAAAGAGCCGGGACAAAGCAAGGGAGCTGATCTCCCACGGAGACCTTGAGCGAAGGGGAAGAGCCCAAAAGGTGGAGATGAGATCAGGGAGGCAGGGGATGCCCTGGGAGTCTCTATTGCCTGTGCGCTCCAGCACCTGACGTGGGCAGGGGACTGGGGACAACCTGGGAGTCCAGGCGCTCTTCCCTGGCGCCCTTGCTTTGTTTTCTCCCCGCCACCAAAGACTGGACCCTGCAGCAATGCAGGGATCAGACTTGTGCTCCGCTTGTCCCTTCTGTCCATCCTTTCCCAAGCCCTCTTCCCTCCCTACCGCAGAGCTGCCGGAGCAGCGCCCGGCTCCCTCGCTTTGCTGGAGGGAGATGCCCACCCAGAGCAGTGGTCCTGCGAGAGGGAAACCCCGCGAGCATCTTCCCTTCCCAGCACCGCAGCCCGTCCTTGCCACAGCCCGAGCCATCCAGCCAGAGCCCCATCAATATCCCAGCTACCGCGCTCATCCCGAGCACTTTGTCCAGCCCCAGCGCCCGTGCGGGGCTGCCCAGCACCCGCGGGCAGCGCGGGGCAGGCTCTGCATCACAGCGAGAGCAAGACATGAGAACGGGAGGCTCAATCCGTGCTGCGTCTGCACCACAGAGGTGCCAGCAAAGGGTTGGTTGGGCTCCAGGATGAGGTGGGACCCTGCGGAGCACAGGGAGGGTGACCTGGCCCCGCGCCGGATCTGGCCCTGCCACCCCACAAGGAACGGGACGTGCAGCTCGCAGCCTTGCGCCGAGCTGCCCGCAACCGAGCTGGGCACCGGTGCTCCCTCCTCCCCAGCAAGGATGCCCACCCTGCGGGCAAGCGAGGCAGAGGAGGGCGAGCGGCGGGGAGGAAGAGCAGCTCGAGCAGCGCCGGAGCGACCAAGGGCCGGCGTTGGGGCTGTTTGTGGCCTCCTGGATGGAGCAGGGCAGTGCGGCAGCTGGGCTAGGGATAACCCCAGGAGATGAGCAGCCTCTCCCACGGTAGTGCTCAGCGTCGCCCAACACCGCTCTCCATCTGGGGTCCGGGGTGGTCCCATCGCATCCCGGCCCTGCTCCAGGACGAGCCGGCTCTGTCCTGCCTGTGCTCTGGACAGGAGTGCAGGAATGAAGGGTGCTGGGGGCACCGAGACCCCCACCCCGGGACGCAGCAGCCATGAGGACACTGAGGACCCTGCACCATGGACGGGGTCCAAGCACAGAGAGGCCTTAAGGGCTGCCAGGGGACGGTGGCAGAAGAGCTTTAGCTCTTTGCTTGCGCTGGCTCTGCAGAATGCTCTGATCCCTCCAGCATTCTGGCCAGAAAGGAGCAGGATCCCAGGTCTAAAGGAGCAGGATCCCAGGTCTGAACCCGCCCTGCGGGTCTGGGTGGACTCCGGGGCATCTCCTTGGATGGCCACACATGCCCAAGGGAGCAGAGAGCCTGGCTTGGCTCCTGCGGCTCTGCAGCGACAGCTCCGAAGGCAGATGTGGGGAAGCGCTAATCGGCTGTGACGGGGCTCGGATGTGGCGCTCTGGCCATCGGCCGTCAGCTCCGCGGCCCCGGGTCCAGGGATTTGCACGCGCGGCCGAGCGGCCGAGCCCGGGGCAGGAGCTGCCGCCCCCTGCGCGGCCAGCGCGATGGGTGTCGGGGCTCCCTGCGCGGGCAAACCCGGGTGCCCCGTTTGGGTTGGCGGCAGAGCTGCCATCCCGAGCCCCCGGAGCGGGAACGTCCCGAGGAAACGGCCTGATGTGGGGACCCGCACGGAGCTTTGTGCTGGGAGAAGGTCCCACTGGTGCTGCCCAGATGGCCCAAAGAGCAGGTTGGCAAGTGTCCTGTGGCTCTTTCCAAGCACCTCTTGGCCTTGCTGCTCCTCGCTCTCCTTAGGAAGAAGCAACATGGAGACATCAGGACGCCAAGCATGGTGACAGGGAGAACACCAGGAGCTGTGGTGGCCACCGCGCAACCAGGAGATGCCACCTCTCTGCTGGCCAAAGGTCTCCATGAGAAGCCCATGCACTCAATGACATGCAGTGGGGACCGGGTGCATTGCATGGGGTGCAGCGTGATGGTTCCCATGTCGTGGGGCGCATGCAGTGTCATGGATAACTCTGGAATCACCCAGGAGTGCTCCCAGCGCTGCGGCTCTTCTCCTGCTCTGCCCATTGCAGGATGCCGGTGACAACGTGCCTAGGAAACCCAGTGGCATTGGGAATGCTGTAGCCAGGAGGCATCTTCCCTTGCAAGGAGGGCTCTGCCCTGAGCAGAGAGCCTGGCCCTTGGCCACGGCCCCTCGCTGCAGACAGGGTGTCCCCGGGCTCCGTGCGGCCGCGGGGCCGGGAGGGCATCGCGCTGTCCCCACGCACATCCCTGCTCCGGGGTGGCACCCGGTGTCCCCACCGGCTCCCCCGGGGCACGAGATTCACGGCTGCTGAACTCGGTACCCGTCTCCCCGTCACAAACCTCCCTTGTCGTCTTTGACATCCCCTTTTAACGCCCATCAACCCGGGGATGGGGAGATGGTCCCTGGCAGCGCATGGGCAGGACGAGGACCCGGCCTCATCGGGGCCCTCCTCGACGTGAGCGTCAACGGAGGGGGCTTGAAGGAAGGTGTCACCCTGATCCGCGCGCCCAGGAGGGGACAGGGCCGCCAGAATCTTTGCGGATGCAGCACTTTTCTCCTCCTCCCCAGATGGAGGAGTGTTTGTCTGTCTGGATCGGCAGGCGATTCCCCGTGACAGCCGCCGCGGCCGGGGTCAGGGGACGGTGGTGGCCGCTGTCCTGTGGGTTAAGGGGACGGGCAGGCACTGGGGGGAACGGGCGGCTCAGCCGGTGGGATACCACCGATCCTGCTGAGAAGCTGCCGTCCTGCCCTGCCGAGCTGCTAGGGACGCCCCGGGCCTCGGCAAGGATGCATGGAGCGTGTCCGCGGCTTCCCGAGCATCCCGGCTCCTCCGCGGCGTGCGGGGAGATGCTCGGAGCAGGTTCCGGGGATGCTGAGGACAACAGGGGCTCTCCGCACGTCCCCGCTGGGGCTTTTGCCTCCTGCTCTCCCGCCGGGGCCGCTCCGGCGGCTGCGGCTGGATAGAACCCGCGGCGCTCGCTCGTTACTATTTCATAGCCCGGGCTCCCGGGGGACTCGCAGTCGCTGCGCGGCGGCTGCATCCCCGTCCGTTCGTCCTCACGTCCCCTCTCGGTGCCAGGAGCGCTCGGCTCGGCTGCCGCGGGAGCCCCAATCCCGTGGGATGCGCGTCCCCCCGAGCCCCATCGCGGCCCCCCTCTCGGCGCGGGTGCCACCCGCCGCGTGTCTCTGTGTCCCCAGAGGATGAGCTGCGGCTACGTGCTCTGCACCGTCCTGCTCTCGGTGGCCGTCCTGCTGGCCGTGACGGTGACGGGCGCCATCCTCTTCATGAACCACTACCACCCGCCCGTCACCGAGTCGCCGCCCGTCATCAGCACCAACCCGGAGGAGGCCAACGCCTTGGTGACCATCGAGAGGGCCGACAGCTCCCGCATCAACATCTTCATCGACCCCAACTGCCCCGACCAGGCGGGCAGCTTCACGCGCCTCGAGGGCCTCCAGTCGTCGGTGCTGCGCACCCTGAGCGAGCACGACGCCGAGGCCAAGGCCACCAAAGGGCAGCAGAGAGCCCTGCTGGCCACCGTGGCCGACGAGGTGGCCAAGCTGCTGGCGCACGCGGCCCAGCTGCGCGCCGACTGCGACGGCCTCAAGAAGGGGCACGGCGCCATGGGGCAGGAGCTCAGCGCCCTGCAGAGCGAGCAGGGGCGGCTCATCCAGGTGCGTGCGGGGCGCTGCGCTGCCTACGCGCCGCTCCCGGGCCCGCTGCTCATCCCCGTGCCCTGGAAAAGCCTCCGCAAACGCGACGCGGAGCTTTGTAGTCATCGTTTGCAAAGCCCGGCTCCCTGCATGCCGCTCCGGGGCTGGTTCTGGGAAAAGGGGACCCTCCCATGGGGATTTTGTCGCCCTATTCACCTAGGGATTGGCCTGGAGCCCGATGGGCTCCCTCGTGGTACGGGCTCCGTGCAGGGCTCCCTGTCCCATGCAGTGCTGGCCAGGAGGGCGGGCAGCACGGTGCCCATGTGTCCCCCACACACACAGACCCGGGGTGCCCCCATCCCGCGCGCCGCAGCCTTCGGCCTCACCGTGCTCACACCAGTCCGGTCCGGGCATCCCGCGTTGGGAGGATCCAGCGCTGGGAGTGTTCCCACCGCCCGGGCTCTTGCAAAGGCCGGAGGAAGGCGAGGAGCGGGCGGCAGCCGGGGCTGAGCGGCGGTGCCTGGGCGCGGGCGGCAGCGCCAGCCCCGCCTGGCTCACCCCGGCTCACCCGGGGCTGCCTCGGGACGCGGCTATTTCCGAAGCGCCCAGCAAGCCCGGCCTCCGGGGAGCCTCCTTATCCCCCAGGTGCCCGGCTCGTGCCGTGGGTGCACCCGGGGTTGCCGGGCACGCCAGGGCAAAGATCCCAGGGCAAAGATCGGGGGAGCCGCGAGGCGGGCGAGCTGCGGGACCGGCCACACAGGGTGGATGCACCGGGCACAGCAGGTCACACTGCACATCCCTGGCCACGCGCGTGGCTGAACCGCAGGGAGGGCCCAGGCGTCCTGCTCCCCTAGCCGAGCTGCCCGCGGTGCCTTGCAAAGATCCGCAGCATCCTCACACCGGGAGCGCTCGCGGCGCCCATGGCACAGACTGACCCGCGTCCCTGCCCGCAGCTGCTCTCGGAGAGCCAGAGCAACGTGGCGCGGCTGGCGAGCTCGGTGGGCGACGTGCTGGACACGCTGCAGCGCGAGCGCGGCGCCGCGCGGCCCCGGCTCAAGGCCGACCTGCAGCGCGCGCCGGCCCGGGGCGCCCGGCCCCGCGGCTGCTCCAACGGTGAGAGCCGGACCCGCGCGCCCCGGGGCGAGGGAAGGGACCCTGTTTATGTGGGCACGGGATTCACCGCGGAGCCCCGTGCTGATGGCGCTGTGCTCTATCCCACCGCAGCATCCTCTGGATGTGGCGGCCTCTCCCCGCTCCCCCGGTGCCAACGAGGCACTAAATGAGCTCATTAACGAAGCCGCTTTGCTCCCGTGCCCAGGCTCCCGGCCCCGCGACTGCTTTGACATCTACGCGAGCGGGCAGCAGGAGGATGGCATCTACTCCATCTTCCCCATCCACTTCCCCTCGGGCTTCCAGGTCTACTGCGACATGAGCACGGACGGCGGCGGCTGGACGGTGAGCGGCTCTGGACAACCCGTTGGGAGCCGGGGAGGAGGAGGGTGGTCAGGATAGCATAGGAAGCCTCGCGTAGGGATGGGGACGTGGCGTCCGGCCCTTCCCATGGAAGGAGCTGGAGTGCTGTGCCAGCAAAACATGGGGAGCAATTGGCTCCTGGAGTGGCAGCGCTCGCATCCGCTTGCCCCTCTGTCGCCTCCAATTCCCATCCGCATCCCGGTGAGGACCGGGGAGCCGCGGGAGGGAAGGGGCCGGGGGTGCTGGCGGGGGCTCCGGCTGCCGCAGCCCCGGGGCAGCGCTGACGAAGCCGCGCTCATTAAGCCGCTCGCCGCCCGCCCTGTCCGATCCGCTTTGCCCAGGCGCGCGTCAAGGCCCCTAATCACAGTAATGGGGGGCAGCGCCAGCGCGGGGATCCGCGCGGGGCCCGCGGGGCGGCCCCGGGCTCCGGCCACGCTCCAGAGCCCCGGGGCGCCAGGAGGGCGGCGCCGCTCCGGACGTCACCGCGGAGCCTTGGAGCAAAGGGACCCCAAGGGGACCGGAGTCCCCAGGGAGCAGCTGGGGATCCCGGGAGCGCCCGCGCGCATGGAGGGGTGGGAAGAGGCCGCTGCCGCCCGGGCTGCCCCTCCAGCTGGGCGCTCCGGGAGGCAAATCCCCCCGGATCCGATCCCCCTAAGCAGCTTTGGGCGGTGCCGGGAGCAGGGAGCTTAGCTCCGGTGCTAGCCCGGGGCGACGCGGCAGCCCCCGGCCCAGGGGATTAGCGAGGCCCTGGGGGTTGTGCGGAGCGGCTCCCGCCCGAGGCTGCTCGCGGGGCTGCAGGAGCCGCAAGGAAACGGTTCCTCGTCCCGCAGTGCCCGCTCGGAGGCCAGGGGCCGCTCCGGACCAGGCAGGGATGGAGCAGCAGCCCCTGCTCCCGGCCGGGCTCCGTCCCCCTTCCCCTCCCTGCGCCGGGGCTGTTGGCAGCAGTATCCGCACCAGGGCAGTGTCCAGCACCTCCCTGGGAACGGGAGCACGTTGGAGCCTCCAGGCTCCGACTCGGGCGTCCGGAGCTGCTGCAGAGCCCGGAAAACCTCCCTGCTCCTCCTCCTCTTCTTCCTCCTCCTCCTCCTCCTCCTTAGGAGCGATTACTCCTGACATTTGGGCTTATTTGCATGTGGGTGGGTGGGTGAGCGCGGTGGCAGCAGCTGAATCAATCTGGACTGGGGCGCAGGGGAGCTGCTGAGCTAAGCCCGGCTTTGCAGGGGAGGCTCTGCGGCCTCGTCCCTCTGCGGCAGCCCCAGCGTCCCCTCACCGGGGACAGTCCCATGGGGGTGACACTCGCCTCCCATCCCTTTATTAAAGTAATAGGGATTGAGAGTGGCAAAGCAGCTCAGGAACCGCCTTGGCAGCCCCAGGGACGCCCGTGAGTCCCTGGACTGGATCTGTGCTGAAAAGCAAAGTCATTCCAAGGGTTTTTCCCTGCCCCACAAGCATCGGTGCCGCGGCGGCTTCTCCGGCTGATTTTCCATGCCGGCTCTTAGGAGCGCGTGTTGGCGAGCGGCCGCAAAGCCGAGGGAGGAGGAAGAAAAGGCTCTGTCAGCAGGACGAGGCCCGTGGTAATTTTAAGTGACAGCTCTCAGCTTTCCGAGACACCTGCCACGCTGGCAAGCTCCGAGAGCTCCTGGCAGGCCGGTCATTATCCGGCACCGTGATCCGCGCGCGGGACAGGGGTGACCAGGGCGTCTGGCACCCCTCAGCACCCACAAAATGAGACACGGGGCGGGAAAGAGGGAGAAAAAGGAGCAAATGGCAGGAGGAGATGCTGGAAGTTGGGATGCAGGCAGGGAATGGGGTCACCTCTCCGTTTTCCCCCCGTTTTCCTGGGGCTGTTTTCTCTCAGCTGGCTCCGTCCGCACCCGTGGGCTCGCAGCAACCAGAGGCGGCAGGGAGAGGGGGAAATAAATATTTCAGCCTTAGCTTTAAAGAGAGGGGGAAGCAAATCCTTTTTGCTTAAGAGGGGGCGCTGCATATTTCATGAGGAGGTAAAGAGCAGCGAAGCGGCGGCGGCGGCCGGGCCCGCGCTCCCCCGTGCCCCTTCCCGCCAGCCCCGGCTCGCTCCGGCCCCCCGTGTCTCCCCATCGCTCCCCTGTCCCCTAGCCCTGTTTCTGGGCAGTGCATTGGGCAGAGGAGAGCAGGGCATTGAGAAGGAGAAGGAGATGGAGAAGGAGATGGAGAAGGAGATGGAGATGGAGATGGAGATGGAGATGGAGAAGAAAGGAAAAGGGGAAGGGGAAGGAGAAAGAAGGAGAAGGGAAAAGAGAAGGAGAAGAGAAAAGAGAAAAGAGAAAAGAGAAAAGAGAAAAGAGAAAAGAGAAGGAGAAGGAGAAAGAGAAAGGAGAAAGGAGAAAGGAGAAAGGAGAAAGGAGAAAAAAGAGAAGGAGGAGAAGGAGCGCAAGGTGCCTCCCTGCAAGCCGTGAGTCCCCTTTTGCTGCATCCATATCCCAAAATATGCCATCCCAAATACGGGACGGCAGCCCCGGCTCTGCCCTCGCAGGAGCGCGGGGTGCAGAGCAGCGCGTCCCGCCGGGACCGGGGGCTCCGAGGGCCGCCCGTGGCGCCCGCGGGGTCAGGCCGGCCCCGTGCTGCCCGCTAAGCCGCCCGGCGCGCCCGTCATCGCCGCGGCTCAGCCAGCCAAGACGTGCCCGGCACGCGCTGCCCGGCGCCGCGCGGGCAATTGGCCTATTTACAACCTCGAGTCAAAGCCGATTAAAGGAGGGCGCGGGTGCCGCCGCCTTCCCCGCGCCGACGGAGCCGATTGGAGCTGACATTCCCCAGGGAAAAGCCGCTTCGGGCCCCTTTCCAGCCCGGGCGCCGGCCCCCCTCGCTTGGCAAGCCCCAAGCAAGCCCCTTGCCACGGGCTTAGCGGCAGCTTCTCAAGGGCTCAGCGCAGGGATAAACATTAAGGCTCTAATTCTAGAAGGTAAGTACAGCATGGAGCGAGGAGGGGGGCGGGATGCTGGCCCGGGATGCAGGGATGCCCCGGCTGTGTCTGAGTGCCCCGCGCGGGGCCGTGGCTCCCGCTGCCCTTCCCATGGCTGCGGGGCCGGATCGGGATGTGCTGCGGATCCCCCGGGATGGCAGCGGGGCAGAGGCAGTCTGGGGAGGCAGCGGCACGAGGCGGCTCTTCCCGAGGGCCGGGAGCTGGAGCACAAGCTGGGAGAGGGTTCAGGAGGCTCTGCCAGAGCCGGGGGAGCGGAATGTGTGTTAGGATGCAGTGCGGAAAAGCTCCCGTGCAGCTCCCTGGGGAGCCAAAGCAGCTGCACAAAAAACTTCTTTTTGCCCCAAAAACTGAGCACTGTAGAGGGGCTGCAGGGCCCCTCGTGTCGCTCCTTGGGGAGACAAACAGCTTCCCCCAAACCTCCCTTTTGCCCCCAAAACTGAGCGTCATAGAGGGGGTGCAGGGCCCCCTCTGCCGCCTTTGCCGGCTGCCCTCCAGGCCGGCTGCACTGGCCAAGCTGCACACAATTAATCCCAAGCTGGAGGCTTAATTAAGTTCAAACGGTTGGACGCAGAGCAGCATTTTCTGGATCGCTGTCAATAAATCAAACCCCAGCCCGACGATAAAAGACGGCGAAACCCAGAGCAGGAAACCCTGCTGAGAATGCTCGGGGAGCGCGCGCGGGGCCGGCGCTGACGGCAGCAAAGGGGCTAATCCCGTGTCCGGCCCCGCGGCTCCGGCAGGTTTTCCAGCGGCGCGAGGACGGCTCCGTGAACTTCTTCCGCGGCTGGCAGGCCTACCGGGACGGCTTCGGGAAGCTCACGGGCGAGCACTGGCTAGGTGTGTGCCATCCCCGTCCCCATCTCCATCCCCATCCCCATCTCCATCCCCATCCCCATTCCCATTCCAGTCTCCTGGCGCCGGCGCTGACCCTGCGCCGCCCCGCAGGGCTGCAGCGGCTGCACGTGCTCACGGTGCAGGCGAGCTACGAGCTGCGCGTCGACCTGGAGGACTTCGACAACGGCACGGCCTTCGCCCGCTACGGCTCCTTCGGCGTCGGCGTCTTCTCGGTGGACGCCGAGGAGGACGGATACCCCGTGTCCGTGGCGGATTACTCGGGGACGGCAGGTAGGCGGCGGGGCGGCCGCGGCGGGCGGCGCGGTGCGGTGCGGCGGGCGCCGCTCACGGCTCCTCTCGCCACCAGGAGACTCCTTCCTCAAGCACAACGGCATGAGGTTCACCACCAAGGACCTGGACAACGACCACTCGGAGAACAACTGCGCCGCCTTCTACCACGGCGCCTGGTGGTACCGCAACTGCCACACGTCCAACCTCAACGGGCAGTACCTCAAGGGCCACCACAGCTCCTACGCCGACGGCATCGAGTGGTCCTCCTGGACCGGCTGGCAGTACTCGCTCAAGTTCACCGAGATGAAGATCCGGCCCGTCAGGGAGGAGAACTAGCCGCTCGGCGTGACCCCCCGGCCCGCCCCGTCACCCCCGTCCTCGGTGCCAGCCCCCTTTCCTGCTCCCTCTGGAGACACTCGGCTCCCTTTGGCTCTGCTACGGACAAGGGTCTCCCCCGGTGCCCGGATGGGCTGAGGAGGGAGCAGCAGCTTTCGGGGGGAGCCGGGTGCGAGCAGGGCACCGGTGCTTCCTCGCGGGCCCCCGCGGTGCTATTTGGGCTCGATGGGCTCGTGCCGCTCGCCTCCTGTCCCGCCGAGGCTCCTGCGCGTGGACGGGGACAGCCAGGACCTGCTCCGGGTGCCCTCAGGCCCTCCACCCAACTCGCACACAGAGGCGCTCCCCGTCCCGTCCCGCAGCTGCAAAGGGGGCGATCCCGGTGCAGACAGACCCATGGCCCGGCTGCGCCCCTCTCCTTGCTCCCGGGCGCCCAGACCGCGCGGCGGAGCGGGACACGTGCTGGAACACGGGGCCGGATCCAACGCTCGGCACAGTCTGCACAGCACAGCCCTCCCGCCTGGGGGCCCGGGCTTGAGTCTGTCTCCAGCCCCTGCGTGGCCGGGACCTTCCTCAGCCCCTCGTCTTCCTCGCCGGCGCGTGCTGGAGAGCGCAGCCCCCGCTCGCTCCGTGTGCAACGAGCCGCACTCCAGCTCTGCTCCTGACCATATTCCAAGCCCTTTGCCCCCTCAGATCCCATTAAGGTTTTGCAAAAGGGAACGCCGGGGCCTCAGCCGAGGCGTCCCGAACGTGACTTTCCCCCCTGCCCTGGACTCGCAGCATCAGCCGGCGCTCCACGTGCACCCAGCGACGTCCCTTCCCCATGGGGACAGGGATGGCAGATCCAAGTGCAGCAGAGCGGCCACCCAGACCCCGCAAAGGCAGCGGGACGGACACGGTGCCCTGTGCACTGCTCTGCAGGGAGCTCGGGGTCTGCATGGACAGGCTCCCCGGGCAGGGCAGCAGAGCTGCCGCCGTCCCCGACACCGGGGGCTTAAGGCAGACAGAGATCAAAGGCTCATCGTGCTGCCAGCGGCAGCTTTGCGCTTCCCCGGGCGCCTCTCGCTTTCTTTTTAAGCCTGCGAGCACAGGGTGGGGAGCGAGCGCCCTCGGGAAGGGCTCGCGTGCCCGCCGGGCAGCTCCCTCTTCCCACTGGGCCGGGGCAGTGGTGCAAAATCCCTGCACCCACATCCCTTTGCCAAGGGCGTTTCCCTGCGTTTTTGGGAGCGGATCTCACCAAAAGCAGCCTCCGTCCCTGCAGCGCGTTGGCGAGGACACTGCAGCCACGGCCGCCCTTTCTCGTTTTCTTAAGTCCCGCCCTGGTTTAGGTGTAACTAGGTCTGGTAGTGTCCGCGCCCCGGCCGAGGCACTGGGAGCTGCACGCTGCCAGCGGCTCCTGCAACAGTCGGCACCAGCGCAGACTCCCTACGGAGGCCGTTTGAACTGCACGGTGGGAACCCAGCACCGCCTGTGCCGCCGCATCCCTGAGGAGTCGCTCCTAGACCCCTACATGGATTGGGCTCCATCGCGGCGGTGGTGACGCGTCCGCGGGGACCGGCCACCCCCTGCGCCCCAGCGCGGCCCCGGCGCCTCCCCCGGCTCGTCCTTGCGCAGCCGCCCCCGTCGCGGCGGCTCCGGGTTGTGTTCTTAGCAGTGCGGTGACGTCTAGGTCGTGTGTGCTTGGTGTCCGGCGCTCTCCATGTCGACTCCCTGTGTTCCTCAATAAAGGGAACTCCCCGGTGCCGCGTCCCCGTCGCGCAGCGGAGACGGGAGACCCAACCTAGCGCGGGCGACACGTGCGAGCGAGGCCGGGGAATCGGGGGGATCGTGCTGCACATCTGGGATGGAAAAGGGGGCTCCTCAGCAAAATGCACCCCCTCCTGTGACGCTCGGGGGGATAGGGAATGAGTACGAACCTGGAGCCCACTTTCCAACCTACCTTAGGCAGGGTGGCCGCAGGTGTTTGCAACAGGAACGAGGTTCTTTGCTGGTCCCGTGGTGGTGGTTTCCCCTCCGCCGCTGCATGTGGCTCTTCCTCATGGTCCGTCTGGGCGCTTGGTTCCTGTGCCCAGAGCATTGGGTGTCCCGGCAGCAGAGAGGAGCAGAGAGAGCAGGGGCCAAGTGCCTGTCAGCTTGACCCGGGGCTCTGCGAAATGGGGGAAACGCCACGAGCGCCGACCCAGGGTATCTGCAGGACCCGCCGTGTCCCGGGACGAGATGTCCTCCACCACGGAGGGTGACGCTGAGCCCCCGGGCTGCGTCTCGCAGCCCACCCTGCCTCCAAATGAGGCGGCAGGCGCGGGCAGCGCGGGACGGCCTCGCTAATCAGCGCCGGGGCCGTCGCCGCCGTGCCCACGCTCCGTGTCCAGCCGCATCCCAGCCTCTGGAATGCGCCGGCCCTGCCCAGCTGCTCGAGGGCAATTAGCGCGGCGGGTATTTAAGGGAGGGCGATGCCGTGGCCGGCACATTGCGGGCCACGCTGGGCAGCGTGCGGAGCAGCCGCAGGAGCCGTCGGGGCATTGCCCGAGCGGAGAGGTGAGTCGCTGGTGGCTGCTCGTCCCTGCGCTGGAGGGCTTGGCCCTTTTGTGCCCACCCGGGACGGGCACAGGGGCAGCGCAGCCACCCCGGGGCGCCGCTCCCCGGCCCTCCGGAGCACTTCCCCCGGCTCCCAGGAGCGGAGCAGGGAGCCCTGCTGCGCTCGGGGTGGCAGTGGGAGCGAGCGCGGGGCTGGTGGGTGACCCAAACTCCGCATCGTGAGGAGCGCGCGGCTCGCCAGCACCCTGGTGAACGGCCCCGCTCCACCAAGTGGCACCCGCCTCTTGGTCACCAACCAACGAGACGCTGTAGGGGTGCAATTCATTAGCCAAAAATTGCCAGAAAAACAGGGAAGGGCGAGTGGGAGGACAGGGCAGAGAGCTGCAGGTGCGGAGGCAGCGGGAGGATCCAGCGGGCGCTGGGAGGAGGGAGCCCGGGGTGTCCCCGCGCGGCTCTAACCTCGCAGCTTCCCCCTCGCAGATGAGGGTGCCCTACTCGCTGTCCTGCCTCCTCCTGCTGAGCCTGGGCGCCTGCCTGTGCGCGGGCGCCGATCCGGGCGCCGCCACGCGGGACCCGCGCCCGCGC